AATACATTTATTCGTGTATATTATTTTTTATTTTAGTTGTAGTGAAGTATAATACAATACGCAGGTTGGTAGTAATTTTTGGAATATCTTTGTAAAATATTTAAATGTTTAAAAAAATTATATTAATATAATAATTACCATTTTCGTCTTTTTGGGTGTCCGAGAGTTCATACCAGTTTCCAGTGTACATGGATTCTGCTACATTGCGCCAACAGGTATTTTTTACATTTTTGTCCATGTAATCTTTGCTTGCAATATCCCATAGGCAAGGATTACTTTCAATCAACATAATTAATTTTTCTGTGTCGAACATTTTCAAACTATTATATTTTAATATGTGTTTAAAACTCTTAAAACCACAACCATACACTATGAAAAAGTGATGATGAATGAAAATAATCAAGCCAATTCACCAAATACGAAGATGTAAAAATAAAATTTGTGTAAATCCATAGCCAATAGAAATAACTATTATTTTATATTATAATAATAACAATTATACAATAGTCAATAACCATAGGTAGGTATATAAATATAATATTTTGGACGATCGAAAATAAAATGAAATAAATAATATAATATAAATAACCAACAAAATTATACATACCTACAAATAACACAGGTAATATAAATATGTACTATTATACCTACAATCTAAATATATTATCATATTTATTTATATAACATAATAGTAAGTGCTTATCTAAAATTTAATAATTAATAATACCATAATATATTATATAGTTGACATGCTCGTAATGAAAAATAAAATATATCTAAGTAGTTTAAGTAGGTATATTATCTTTATTATGTGAGGCATTTTTAAATTGTATTATATTAGGTATTACATTTATTACATACTTACCAATCTATTTCCATACGGTCGCGGTGTTCCAAAAGAAAATACACCAGATTTTCATATATTTTATAATAGATTTGATAAAAAAAATTAAAATTATATTTTAAAACATCAGTTTTTTTACAAATAAAAAAACATTGTAATTTTAGGTTATGGAAGTTACTAGAAACTTTAGGCCCCACTATTTGAATTCTTTTTTTTTAATGCATATGTTCTTTGAAAAAATGAACCGCGGTTATGAACCGCGGCTATGTGTGAACGGACTAATTCAAAACAGTGTGTTTTGATCATTTGGGCGGTCCAACCGCATGCGGTTCAACCGCGACATGTTGCGGTCGGTTTTTCGACCGCTGCAGCAGTTTCCGAGGCTGAACCGCGTAAGTGTGAACGCATATCAGGCGGTTGCATTTAAAATCAAACAATTTGAATTTGTTGGGCGGTTGAACCGCTGCGGCTCGACCGCTATGTGTGGCCCGGCCCTTAAAGTTATCTACACATTTTCTCATCCTATTTTTAATACGTTACCAACTACGAAACGATTGTATTCGTATATGTTGTGTCTTCTGGAATGTGTTTGGAATGTGTTATATAAAAAAAAAAAAAAATGTTTTCAATTTGTATAGAGTGAACGAGTTTAGGATTAGCGTTTACATTTTTTTATTTTTTGAACCGATATATTCTTGTAGACATGAATATTTGATGCAATGAGCTTCTTTTAATTAGCTTATTATTTTATTAGAGCCAGTAATAAAGTTACCTGTTAATAATATTCATTATATAGGTAAAAACTGTTGTTCAATCCATATGACTTTGAAATAATTTTATTTTTATATTTTATTGAAGCATAACATTTTTAAAAACATATATGATAACCTCATACAACTCAGATGGGTATGGTATGAATAGTCGAATAGATTTCTAAGGTAAAATAAACAGGTGACCTTATTTAGCCCAAAACAATATAAATATTGTGTCACGTTTAAAAAAAAATTTATATAAAGTGGATATGTGATAAGTGATCATCTGCACAGTATAGTTGTCTAATATATTGTCATTGTGTTGTATTTGAATTCAATGAGAAATTGCATTCGGAAAATGATTCTGAGCGGAAAAGAGGTGTCATCCTAGCATACTTGTATAAATAATCAAATCTAATAGCTTATTTTTACTATTCCAAATGTAGAAGATAGATAGAGCTCTCCTCTCTACTCGTTACTATTCAATTAATACATTTTATGAACCAATTTATTATATAATATAATGTAAATACTAGCTGTCTAGCCCTTGATTTGTATTTTTGATCAATATATTTTTTTTAAATGTACATTCAAAATTTCTTCTAACTATAGTAGTAATATAATATGTAACCAATAGCATATTCATTTAGATGAACTCGAAAAAATCCTTTTTTTCGTTAGCTGAAAAATATCATGTGTGAGCTATCCTTTAGTTACCTATTAGAGTTGAACAAATACGCTATATATATAAACATTAAACACCCTCCAAGTCTCAAGGAATCTATTGACATAACTTTTATTAAAAATGATTCGGTCTAGTTGTTGAATCTACTTCGGGCGAACCAACAACCATTTTTAGCTTTATAACGTTACTTCGCTCTTGAAAAAATGAAAAATATAAAATATAGCGATATACTACAGGTGTATTTTGGTTTTAGTGCCTAATTTCAGCTCATGAGCAAATTTGTGTCCTAGATTTGTGAAATAATTCAATCGAGATCGATAATTATTTACCTTCGGCGAATTGGATATAGCATTCGATATAAAACGAACATAGTTTACTATAAAGGAAATCTCTAAACTTTCTACAAGAATAATTTGAAATGTTCACAAAATCGGTAATGTAGTTTTTGAGTAGGTACCTACGACCTACCTATAATTTAAGCTACACACGTAGGTAGATACATTCTTTGACTCATCAACTCTCATACTTGTTTTAAGGTATATAATTTCTATATTTGAAATCCACAGACATGACCATTTGATGATGCATTTAGTTTTATAAGTTTTACCTCAAATGCCCAAGTAATTAATGATAACAATTTATAAGCAAAACAATTTACGATTTCCTTAGTAAATAGAAAAATACTTGTGTGAGCACCAATCGGGATTGGATCTACTGGATTGAATTGTGAATCTAATCCATCAATGGATCCACTCAAAAACACATAAAAAATGTCGTCAAAATTATTAAAATTGTTTAGAAGGAGTTCAATGACATACACATGTAGGTACAGAAGAATTATTTGTATATGATAACTATCTATCTGTCCATTGCGTTGCCAAAGATTTTTTTTTTAATATGTTTATTTCATTATTTATAAAACAATGTGTAAGCCATATTTCTACTTATCATAATAAATATGTATTTCATATATTATAGCCAACGGCAAACAATTAAAAAAACAAAAAAATTTTTTTTTTCGTTTGTGGAAATAAAATCATGTCAAAAAAACCATCCATTGTTAAAAGATCAAAATATCAAACCTCCGAAAAAATTGCAAAATTCACAAGAGATAAGGCGTTTTCAGATAGCTAGAAAGAAATGGGGGCCCTATGCTTTGTTCGTGATATTGGTTTAGTTTGTATATAATATTATAATGTTCGTATATTATGTTGTCAGCTCATACACATACATTATTATTATTATTATTATTATTCATAGTTGTACTTAGCTGTAATGTAGGTGCAACGTCATGTTGTACAAATTATTTAATGAGTAGTAAAGTGTTATAAGGTGTATCTATTTAAAATTTAAATCTATTTTATTGGTACTTGGCACCTATACCACAAAAAAGATAAACATTAATCGTACAGTCATTAGAAGATGAAAATTATTATAATTAACATTAAAATAACAATTTTTCATTTCTTATTTTTTATTCTATATCAATATTTTGGATTCCATATCATTGTGTGCCTATAGGTCAACACATTCGCATGTTCTTTTTAAATTTTATCATTATATGGATGATTAATACAGATACATTTGACAGTACACAATGTGAATATATTGGTACATTGGGCATGTGTAACCTTTACTTATCATTATTCAATACTTAATTTAAACTAAATTAAGCTTAATTCACTACAAATATTATGATTGTTATTTGCAAGTGTACTTATGAGTCATAATGATATGAAACCCAAAATAATGAATAATCTTTTAATAGAAAAGTTATAAAAAAAACCAATTGTTGGCAGGAATTTATTTTAATTGTACCCATCTCGTATTTATGTAGGTTTATGGACTTCGATCTCAAAATAATTTCCTATTATAAATAAAAAGTTTATCTATAATTTAAACCAAATTCAAAATATTTTGATTGATGATTCAAACAAATTATGAACTTGAATAATTTTAGTTATTACAATTTGTATTTGGAACGAGGTCTACACGCGATTGGTGTAATGGTGTTTGAATGCATAAGTGCCTAAATAGTAATTTTAGGTTTCTTTAAAAAAAATATCAAACACAATTTGGCATGTATCAAATGATTTAATAATTTAAAATGTATTGAACTTATAATACTGTATACTTAATATTTGTATTTAAATAAACCTAAAAATAACTGATTTTAATCGAATAACTACATAATACGTTATTTACAATTATTTATTGAATACTATTTAATATTATATAATTTACTAAATAAAAATTGACAATAAATGAATATAACTTTATTAATTAATTGTCAATTTCTAATATTTTCACAGTAATTATAAACGTAAATAGATTGAACAACAATTAATAATAAATTTGATTAAAAATTAAAAATTATTATTTTATCTTAAAGTATGTGTATTTTCATAGGTGCACGAGTTGTGTGTGGTGAGGTAAGACATAACTCGATATAATCATAGTAGTACCACTAGTACCTCTATAATTACTTATAGGTTAAAAAATAAAAAATACAATTATAATAATATTTAAAACTATTATATTACTATACTATTTGTTATTTTAAATGCATATAAGCATACTTTTAGATTTTGGATATTATTAGTTAAAATGAATCTGTATAATATATGTTCTTAGAACAATATACATATTAGGTACTTAATACTTATGAAACAAAAATTATTTTTATTTACAATTTAATCATATACGTCGGGAAAATGATTAAGTTATAATATTGTACTATATACTTATTATAGTGATCATAAAAGTATATAATAATATAATAATATTATTTGTACTTTAAATAATAAAAAAAATACACAGAACATCGAACAGTGTTAGATGTGATGTGCTTAAAATGTTATCCACTTAATATTCTGAAGAAAATAACTACCTACGGTACCTATATATGGTAGTCGAAATTCCGCAGACGATAGTTATCGTCTCAAGTCTATTTAATCAAACGGACATAATATTAAATAATAATATAAGTATATATATATTTATGACATTGTGTTGTCATAATTGCGTAAAATAAACGCTACAAATAAATTAATTTCAATTGAGCTGCAAGTGCTTATTGTATGCTTATATATGCCTACTATGTATATGTACTACATTACAGTGTGTATCATACGCTTATCCATAATATCTAATGGCTAATAATATTATATTGTAATAACATTCTATAGTGGCACAAGACCGTTTCTGGCTGTCGGATTTCTGGTCATGTATATGTCCATATCGTGATCGGTCCAATTGTCCGACGTGTCCCCGCCGCAATAATTGTTGAGCGTGTGATGCGAACCGGTGTGGCTGTACCTGCTGGGCGGTCTGTTTTGCGTTCCCTCTCTGGTCCTCGAACGTTGCCTGGGCTTGTTGCGGGAAGTGTTCGTGCGACCACTGCCCGGATAACTGATGTGCGACATCCTCTCGGAGACGGCCAACGACTGCCGCGACTGCCTCAGTTCTGCCCAACAGATTAATTCGTACATTGATATAATAATTATTTTTTTACTATTATTATGAGGTTATCGGCTCGGCCCGTCGACTTACCGGGTCTGGAATTGACCAGGTCGGACGCGTATGCGTTGTTTCCGCCCAAATACCGCATGGAGTTGTTCGAGAAACTGTTCTGCGACTGGCCGTCGGCGACCGAACGCATTTTCGGCGGTTTCGCACTGAAGTTTGAAATGTTCGAGTGTAAATCTTCGTTGAGTCCTAAAAGCAAATAATACATTAGTTCGATATCATAAATGCACCTGGTGATTATCAGTATAATATATTTTCCGAAAAATATCATACATTTTTCTAAGATATTTAAATAAATTGGGACATTGAGTACAAACTTCTAATATAACCGTTCATATTCTTATGGCCTTGACTAGTTGACAAGCTGTAGGAACTTTAGGAAATTATACGTTATATAGTATCAACTAAATCATTAAATATTTATGTGTTTATTTTTATGTAAAAAATAACCAATTAATTTATTTTAACTACTGTCGTCTATATTATGTGTATTGTAATAACATTACTGCAATTCGGCGTATTTTATAAATTAGCTGGACAATGCGATATTGTTACAACGGATGCTTTAACTTGTCAAATTATTGAGTCTATTAGATAGGTAGTTAATTAAATACGGTTCAAAGTTTAAAAAAAATTAACTTTTGTACTTGACAGTGGATGTTCTTTGCATTGCAAATTGTTATAACATTCTCACCTTGTCTGCTATCGGCCACTCGATACATGCGCGATGGGTTCAGACTTCTATTGCTGTACACCGAACCCTGATCCCAATCCTTGTGACTGTTGAACGCATTTAGGGCTGCCAACGAGGACATCTGAGCTCCGTTTGGTCCGGGGTAGCAGTTCGCCGGCAAGGTGCCGACTGGGATGCCGGATTTGTTTGGATGGCAGGACGCTGCCGAGCTGTGCAACGTTTGCAGCTTTTTGGCTCTACGCTTGCTCGCCGCAATGAACACGACGACGGCAATCAAGACCGTACCGCATATGGCTGCGCTCGCCGCAATCGTTATTCTGTCCATGTTACTAGTCATCGTAACCGCTGTCCGTATTTCCCGACACTGGCTGTATGGAACCGTGTCCGGCGTGATGGTTATTTCTTCCAAAGATATGACGCACACGATGATACATTCCTGCGTTAATCACAATAATCATAAATCTAAATAAAGGTAACGTGGTTATGTCTACTGTCTATATTGTACTATAAACCTATAAAGTGAATAGTGATTCTTGTCCATTGTACCTAGGGTTCTAAAATTGTATGAATTTTTTTTAAAATTGTATTTCAATTCAAAACGAATTACAATTATTGCTTTCGTATACGAAGCATAGTTAACACTTAAACTTAGTTAAATGTTTACTGAAAAATTCTATAGAAATATTGCTTAAATAGTAAATTAAATGAATTGGATAGTATACATCTATTTGTCTATCTTATATATGTATCATATATATATTCTCTACATCGTGGTCGGGAATTAAATATTGACAACCACTAATTATGTATGAAATCAATCTGATCACCTAGTGATGATTTTATGAAACATACAAAAAAAACACGAAATTAAAATTAAAAATATATATTAATATTTCAAGAAGGTGAAAGTTTCAATTTTGAAATAATTCATACTCAGAACTCAGAACTTATAAAGTTAGTATAAAAATTATTAAATACTTAATTTTCATTCTTTAGTGACCTAATAGTCTGGAGGATTTGTAACCAAAATAATTTATTTACGATTTTGGTTTGAAATAAAATTGTATTATCTTTTGGAACAAAATAGCTAGTTATAAATAGTTATCAGTTACTGATATTAAATAATATACTTCCAGATAAATTTATGTTTTGCAAAGGTTTCCTTATTTTTATTTTGAATATTGGTTTTAATTTTCCCCATATAATTGATAAAAAAAACTGCCTAAAACTATTAAGAATGTACATGCATACCTATATGTTACAGTATCATAACCAAGATTTTTTTTCGGTGAGTGTGTGTTTTTTTTTCTCAGGGGAGTGGGGCCAAAATATTTTATTGCTACTGCTAGGGTATTACCGGCTAGAGAAAGTTTGATAATTCTATAGTCTTAAAGCCTCCAAATAGCTACCGCGCTGATGTGTAAATCTAAAAACAAGTGACTTATAGTTATTTCAACTATGCATGATTAACCATCAGATTATTAATCGGTAGTGTAACCAACATAATATAATATGTGATCGTTATTTAAAAATTAAAATTAATGAAGTCAAAAATATAATGCTTTTTATTGTCCTAGGTATTAGATCACTCGGTGGTATCTCCACAATTTACTGCAAATTATCAAGAATACGGTTTTATATTTATTTTTATTTACCTGGAATGGCACGTTTTTAATTTTAAACTCTCGTTCACTGGTTTCAAGAGGCGGCCCATGCTTGAAATTGCGGTCGCCAAAAAGCCTATATACAACTCGGAATCCCAAGATATTTGCTGTTTCAGAATCCCATTGAATTATAACTGAATTATCTTGTCTGTGAACACTTCTTATGATGACTTCTTGAACTTGTTTTTTAGGGTAAGAACCTAATATTAGAGGTGGTTTCTGGGATGTTTGTGCTGATTGTGGTCGTGTTATAACTAAATTAGTTTTACGACTTGTGTTCATTGGTTTAGTCTGAAAAAAATCAAATTTTTTCAATGTCAATTATACTTACTCAATCCTCAATGTTATTGGTTATTAAATATACTAACATTTGTTGTATTTTGTACAAAATACTTTGTTGTTGTTTCAATTGCAACCGTCGTGCTCTCAGTAGTCGAAGGAATAGTTCTCGTAGTTTCCACAATTCCAAGTAATTCAGATGTATTAGTGTTTTTTACGACTTCTACTTCCGCTATCGGAGGATTCTTTTTAAATTTATTTTTCGAAGTAGGAAATATCTCTGGTGAAACAATTGTAGGACTAGCGTATCCAACACCAGTTCCAATCGGATGCTGAGAATCCATATCATCTTCCTCTATAATAGTTTCTAACATCGCCGACGCATCAGAAGAACTCTGGTCGTTATCGCATACCATTTCTGTAATTCAAATATTAATTGTAAAAAAATGAAAAATAATAACATTCAATAAACTCATAATATATTACCTGAAGGATCGATTTTATAGAAATGTTTATTTTTAAGAAACGATGGACTAGCACAAAACTGTGGATTTCTTTCTCTGCTAGTCACTTGTAAATCACCGTTTTTGATCCATTCAATTACCCATCGGATCCGGCAATCGCATTGCAAGTATCGTCCTCCTAAGCTTAGTCCACGCAATGTAGTGTTAAGATGGGTAAATGCTTTTTTAGGAATAGTTTCGATAGGATTTCCATCTAACGCTAGTAAGGTTAAGGATGGATTTGCTAGGAACGCGTCATTTGGTATTTCTTTAATGAGGTTAAAACCAAGATCCAATACTCTAAGTTCTGGTAGCTTACTAAGAGCTATAGTCGGATAATCTGTGAGCAAATTATTGAGCAAACTTAGTGAACTTAGGGTATTTTTGACACCATCAAACGTAAATTCTCCTAAAGACTGAATTACGTTTCTCTCTAAATTGAGAGCAGTCAAAGCTCCTAATCCTTGAAAAATATGTCCTGAAGTTCCAGGTAATTCACTTAAAATATTTTGAGCTAAATCTAAAAAGGCCAAATTTTTTAAGCTTCTTATACACTCTGGTAAAGATTTCTGATTTGTCCCTTTTAAATTTAAATTCTTCAAACTATTTTCGAGGCCTCTAAATGCATTTTTAGACAATGTGAGGTTGTTATCTGCTAATTTTATAGTTTGTAAATTTTTTAATGAAGCAAACACATCATCTGGAACTCTTGAAATTCGATTTCTTGAAAGATCCAATAATGTTAAGTTAATAAGTCCTTCTAAATTAGGTATTTCATCTATTTTATTATCTTGCAGACTCAAATGTCTTAAATGTAGTTCTAGGCCTTTAAATGCTGTTGGTGATATTGTTTGTATTTGACAGCCCGATAACTGTAAGTTGTGAATTTTAAGATTCGCGAAACTAGAATCTTCAATAGTTTTAACTGAGCTATTATTTATATAAAGTAAGTCCAGTGTTCCCTGTGAATATTTGTCGAGTGTTTGCATTAATATTTCATAATTCACAAGATCACACTGTACGGATAATTCTTGTGCCATATTTGTAGAACATATACAGGATGACTGAAGTTCTGCGGATGATGGATCTGCTTGCCATGGACATTGAGCATTTGATTCGCTTATGCAAAGACATACCATAAGGCATAGTAGCCCAAAATAATCTCTGTAAAAATAAAAATATTAAAAATTTGGTATTAATAAATTTATGATACAACGAAATATTTAAATGGAGTTATTTCATTGAATCTATTATCTGGTTTGGTGTCTGCAAAAGCTAGTGAGTAATAATTTGCAGATCCAATTTTTATAATATACATGATGGTGTCATCAATTATACACCAATAATAATTTTAATCATCTCCCAAAGAACCATCTAAATTTCTACAGTGTTTAGTTATGACAAATATGATATGCACAAACTTCAAAAATATAATTTTAAAATTGGTCAGGTGCCCATTAATATTCCAAACACCCAGAGCCATGATAATTAAATGGTAGGGGGGTTAAGTATAAATTAAACTAAGTTTTTACTGATTTCGTATTTAAATAATACATTTATTATCTAGGGGAAAAATGTTAATAAATTCAAGGGGGGGGGGGGTAAACACCTAACATTTCTCTGATTACGCCACTGCATCTGACTGAACAATGCATTCATATTAATAACACTGATAGCGAATAATTCCATATTTAAAGTTTATTCAAGTACCGACTACCTACGGGATACGGTGCTATTCCAAATAATGATCGAGTAAAATATTGAGAATTTTTTTTTAAATCGTTGTCCTATAGCTATTAGTATAATAAAAAATACAATTGGCAAACAAAATTTTCGGAATCATGAAAAACAGCAAATGTTTTTTCGCTCGGAAATGAACATTTATTTTCTTGGCAGTCTGAAAATAAATATTTTAAAAAACTAGGTCAGAGGAAGGAAATCACAGTTGATAATTATTTATTGCTATTGAAAAAATATAAACGCTTTTCCACTAATATTTAATTTAACAACACTTTATAACATAATATTATTTGTACACAAATTGAAAATACAAACAAGTAAGGAAAAACATAGGTACTTTGAGCGTTTCCAATTTCTCTCAATAAATGTGATGGTAGAAAATATTGTAATATAAAGTAGGTAGGTACATTTTTTGAAAAAGTAATTACTTATTAAAATAAAGCATAGGTAGTAATTAATTAGTAATAATTAATAACTAATAAGTAACTTGATAAAAGTATAAAAAATAAATATAATTACTGAGTTATCAATATTTATTTTGTACATGTAATTATAACGAATATAGAAATAATTGACAAATTTAATGTATTATAAAAATCTAAACTTCGTACAGAAATCTAAAAATGGCACTTACGTTTATGCATAAAAATTAGCTTAGGTGTTTAATAGTCACCTACATAGTTATATAATCTAACTTTTCACTTTTAGAAAAATGAATTCATCACAAGACTATTATTGTCATTGTTTCTTAAAATAAAAAATCATTTTTTTCTTAACGTCCATACCTTATATATTATCTAATATATTTTTTACGTTTGATATATTACTAAGTGTGGACTGTGGGTACTATATTATTATACGTGTTCTATTTGCATGATGTTTGGCAGTGTAAGTGCTGAAATAATTGTATTGTAATTCAGCGTGTCGTTGAGAGATATCATCAATATTGTTAAATACTATAATATAATATATAGATGAGTTATGTAGACTGTAGTGCGAATTGTAACTTTTCCAAGTAGGTACCTAGTGAAAAAGAAATTTACTTTTTCCCTCGGAATACGAGAAAAGATTGGTTTTTTGTTTTTACACAAACGAGAATGAAGATCACAATATTATATTTAACAATATTTCGGTCATTAAGCAATTATTAATTCGGTATCTTCTTACTGTGAAATCAAATCGAATTGGCAGTTATTTGTTATCGTAATAATTATGTATTATTATAGTTTTGATTATTTATTACTTTCACGATAGGTACAATAAAATAAATCGTATTCAAACAACTTTGCAGTCGAATTTTTTCATTTATGGTATAGTTTTCAGGTGAATTATTGTCTATTGAGTATTCTGTATTACACTTTTCACCCAATTCCAACAAGATGTATGTATGCATTACATATTTACATCTAATTTAATTATTGTTTGAGCTTGAAAGAATATATACATTAGTACAATACCAGGTAATATCTAGCTATACATAATACCTACATATCATATCCAACCTATATTATAACATGGTTACCTACCACCTATATGTTATTGAATATTTTCTGAAATATAGAACACATGATGAGTGAAAAAGTATCTGTTTATGTTACACAGGTAAGAAAAATCAACACTCAAACAGGTGCGAACTAAAAAGAATTAGAAAATCATATTAAACGATATACAAAACTGTATACCGAAAACGAGACGTAAGTACATGTTCTATATAACGAACTGTCTACGACACGATGAAAACAATTTAACGATCGTATTTAATAGTTATCATTAGTTAATAATAATATATTCATTAAACGCATATCAAATAGGTTAAAGCTTACATTGTAAGCCTTACAATAAAGTCAGAGGTCTTTTCTTGTACTACTAATATTCTACTTTCATGCTTCGTTATAATATCCATCTGGTACGTTAATGATGTGTTGACAATAATTGTTTTTTTAGACAATATGCTTGTCGCTCACCAACTGGTCTTCGGAAACACCATGCTCTATTGATTAATAGAAACAAATCAACAAAGTCTATTGACTAATGGAATACCTACTAACGAATTTTTGTTTAGAAACAATAGAACTATATTCAACCTTATCATTATATAGGTAAGTAGGTATATGAGTATACACATATTGTATTATATATCATTAATATATGCCAAATATTATCAGCTATTAAGAAAATATACGATTCAAAAAAACTGAACAACAACAATATAACGCATTAAAAAATAGCTGTACATACTATTGGGAGTAACCCATATAATACGTTAAGCTTATAGCTTATAAATACGAGTTGGTTATAGACTAAAAATTGACTTAGGTATAAGCAAAGTACGTCTAGCTAACGTAGAACAGTGTACACTTGGAATAAAACTACGTATAATAAATCAATTTATTTACATAGGTACTATTAGGTATCTACGACCTACCTGTAGTTATGGTGTTATTTTCAGACTAAAATTGAAAAAACATTTTACTCTCATATTGTTTTGTTTAAATTGTTTGGGTAATTTTTTCTACTACCTAACATGAACTATTTATTCTGAATAAGATTTAGAAGACAACAATTTATAAAAAGTTGTACTGTTTATGTCTTCAAAAATGTGTCTTAGGAAATGACGATATAAAATGTTTACAGCACTTTGAAGAGTTTAGGTACTAAATATTATTATAAACTATATAAGTATTTATTATCACCACGCGAGTTCAAGACAATCAATATAACATTACATAATTATATTATAATAAGCGAAATGCAAATATAATTTTTCGATTAAAAACGTAGTCGGTACCTATACTATTAGTAGGTACTTGCGGAAAAAATATGCACAGTAGGTAGAGTTTAATCACTTAAATGCACATTGTACAGCTATGATTATAATAAACGAGCGTGTATTTCTGCCATTCGTGTCTGTACAATGTAAAATGCAAAAATCTACCTATTATAGCACTATTATAGCATACCTACTGTACAATTTTATCTGATGTATTACCTATAATTAGAGAACGGATTTATTTAACGCACTACGCACATAAAATACAAAAACATGTTTCTAAAACCGTTTAAAATAAGTTAGGTTACTAAATATGAGTTTTTTTTTAAAATATTACGCTTGAAATTGATTGAACTGTATACAATTTATATATTTTTATATTTAAAAAAAGGAAAGCGACATATTATATTAAAATATAGAACTTTAGACGTATGAGATTGTTATTTTTGAATATTGGATTTCTGCTGTTGCAACTAGAGGCAGGGTATCAGGCACAGGTGTCTGCAGATACATTAGAATTTACAATAATATTATTTTGTCTATTAAACTTTAATTACAATAAATTACATTTGGGTGACTTTATTGACTTATAATAGTCGATAGACAAAGACGTAGTTGTGTAATTGCCATAATAGCTGTTATCTTTATTCTATATATACACACAAACGTAATCACATAAATATTATAACTCACATATTATAAGCTCGTGTGTGTTTGTGTGTGTGTGTGTGTGTGTAGTTAGCTTGCAATTTATAACGGGGAAACGACGTGTTCATAATATTATAAGTACCTACCTACCTATATATGCGTTCCGGTCAAAGGATGAACGACGATACCTACAGTACCGGCGAGCATGTATTTTATGGACGCCTCTTCCCTCCTAACCTCTCGTACAGACGTACAAGGTATATAGGAGGTACGTTACATTATTATTATTACTATTATTATTAACACACTGTTCGTCTTACGATCGTTTTCGTTTTAATTACCCGTCTCGAGATCACGGTCGCCAAAACCAGTAAACCGGATGACCCGAAAACGGCTTGGTCAAACTATACGGTATCTGTATGACGTGTTATATTATTGTACTCGTCACTCATGTGTATTATGTTCGCACTGGGTACGCCTCGCCGACGTACATTGTGAAGAATAAGGAACGGGTGCATTGTAATTTTTTTTTGCGTTCTACGTGATTATTAAATTGTACACACATTGCCCATGTACACGTAAGTTCCACAGATTTTCAATTATTTTAAAGTTTTCAAACGACATCGTTACCTCCACCAGGTAACAATATGCACCAGCACTTGAACCCTTTAGTTCATCGCCGAATCTACCATTACTTATAAGGTTAATAAAAACAGTTTTATTTTACCAACCCTAGGTATTGTCATATATTTTACTGAGATATTGAGATGTTTGAATAATACATGTCAATAAGAAAACAAATTAAAGAACATAAATTATAAAATAAACTACGTAATTCCAGGAACATTTCCTCCAATCACACACACACTCGAAAATACTGGTTGCTTTACTACGACTGATTTAAGGAAAATGGTGACAATGAATGAATTGATAAAATAATATTCAATATTAAAAATAATATTGTGTGGGGGTATTTTCTAGTTCTATACACTATTATATTATCTTT